GACATACAGTGTGTGTGTGTGTGTGTGTGTGTGTGTGTGTGTGTGTGTGTGTGTGTGTGTGTGTGAATCCCTTTAGTGATCCAGCCTTCAATTCATGTACTCCATACTGATTTTTCAAACCTTCATAACGAACGCTGTCACGTTCATCTCTACAGCCATATTTATGACTATAGAGCATAGCATGAATATATTATACATATCACAGATACTGAGTATCACAGGTCTGTTTATGTCCAAACTACACATCCACGTTTGTGCACAAACTATTGTGTGTTACTGCACAGCTCTCAGGAAAACATCATTCATATCCCTCATATCACTCCACGGTCTCTTTAGTCACTCATAATTAAAAAAAAATCAACTTAATTTAATATTTCATGTCCATTTACTAATTCATTTCTAAAGATAATGTGCATTTTTCCATCAATATTGCAAAATATACCCCTCAGGATGATAAAGCTTGTGATATATAGTAAAAATGTCAATCACTTACATTTAGATTCATGCATTTAGTAGAAGCTTTTATCCAAAGTGACTTTCAAAAGAGGGAGCTATTTATTCCTGATGCACAAAATTGACAATTGACATTGATAAAAACAATATAAACCAAAAATTAAAAAAAAAAGCAAGAACACATGCTGTGTGAACACCCCCTTGCTATATCAGTGTCAGTCAATTTTGATAAAAGCAAAGCTGAAAAAACAAACAAAAAACCCACACATACTTCTGAATGCTTTCTTTTGTTTAATGCATGAATGCACTATTATTCCGTTTTAGTCTTATGCATTCACGCATGCACAAAGATAACCAATGAAAGATTGTGAAATATTATTCAACAAAGGGATGGTTGCTTTTTGCTCCATCTCTCTGGCTCTTTCTCTCTCTGTTGTTTTGTATATGTGGGTTTATTCTGAAGATCAAAGAGAGGAGAGATGGAGAATACTCTTATCTGTGCCGGACAGCAGCACTGTTTTACACAACAGACACACACACACACACGATCATTTTAATAACTAGATTTCACCAAAAGTGAGGATGTTCGCTCATGCAAAACTCATCAGTATTGTGGGTGGCTGCTAGCATCTTGCTGCCCATTTACTATGGTGTTCCATGGTTGCTAAGCTGTTGTAGGTGGTTGCTAGGTGGTTTCTTACTAGCCAAGATTACCTCCATATGAGGTTTGGTGATGATGTCAGCTTGACTAACATTATAAGTCAACTTCAAATAGATATTTTACATTACATTTAGTTATTTAACAGACACTTTTATCCAAAGCGACTTACAAATGAGGACAATAGAAGCAATCAAATCCAACAAAAGAGAATCAATATGTAAGTGCTGTACAAGCCTCGGTTAGCAGTGCAGTACACGTAGCAATTTTTTTTTATATAATAAATAAAAAGAGAACAATTATATAGAATAAAAAAAATAATAGGAAACGCTAGTGTTAGATGTTTTATATATATATATATATATATATATAAAACAAGTCAAAATAATAGGAAAAGAATAGAGAATGCTGTAGTGTTAGAGGCTCTTTTTTTCTTTTTATGAAAACAAGTTAGAATAGAAATTAAATAGAGTGCAGGTGTTAAGTGTTTTTTCTAAATAATAAAAATAAAACATAGATAAAATAGAATTAGAATAGAGTGTTAGAGTTAGAGGGTCAAATGACAAACTGCAAGCCAAAAGTTTGGAATAATTAAAATTTTCTTTATGTTTTTGAAAGAAGTCTTGTATGCTACCGAGACTGCATTTGTTTGATGAAAAATATGGTAAAAACAGCAATATTGTGAAATATTATTACAATTTAAAATAACTGTTTTGTACTGTAAAATGTCATTTATTCCTTTGAGTCAAAGCTGAATTTTCAGCATCATTACTCCAGTCTTCAGTGTCACACGATCCTTCAGAAATCAGTATAATATGCTGATTTGCTGCTTAATTATTATTAGGTCTCATGTATTAAGAATCTTATGTTCTTATTATTATCAATGCTGAAAACTGTTTTTGCTGCTTAAGAATTTTTTAGAAACCATTATGCATTTTTAGGATTCTTTGTTGAATGTTAAAAATAACTACATTTATTTGAAACAGAAATATTTTGTAATATTATAAAACGTCTTGTAATATTATAAATGTAATGCATCCTTGCTGAATAAAAAGTTTTTTGTTTTTTTTTGTATGTTTCCGCAAAAAAATGTTAGGTAGCAAAAATTGTTTTCAACATTGATAATAATATGCTTCTTTGAGCAGCAAATCAGCATATTAGAATGATTTCTGAAGGATCATGTGACACTGAAGACTGGAGTAATGATGCTGAAAATTCAGCTTTGATCCCAGAAATAAATTACATTTTAAAATATATTACAGTAAAAACAGTTACTTTAAATTGTAATAACATTTCACAATATTACTGTTTTTACTGTATTTTTGATCAAATAAATGCAGCTTTGGTGAGCATAAGAGACTTTGTTCAAAAATATATTATAACAAACTTTTGGCCAGCAGCGTATGTCCACTTATATTGACATTTTAAGGAAGAAAAAAACAATAAAAAGCTAAAAAAGTAAACAATTTGCCCCTCACTGAGAAGTCTTTGTGGGATTACATTACAATGAGCAATAGCCCTGAGATTGCAAAGAGCAAAGTCTTAATCTGTGGTCTTCTCTCTCTGTACTGTAGGTGAAATCTGTGGCTTTCACGTGCAGGGGCTCAGCGCTCCGTTCGAGGCTGTGGTTCTGAACCGCACGTCAGGAGAGGGCCGTCTGCGGGCGCATGGACCGATCGACTGCGAGCGACAGAGAGAGTTCACCTTCATCGTTCAAGCTCACGACTGTGGCACGGGACCGGAGGGACACGCAGAGAGGAGATCACACAAGTCAGTGTGTGTTTGAATAAATGCACGTTCTCCACCTCAGTTGGATTCATGTTTGTGACGTTTTGAACTGGAAGGAACACGGTGAACTATTTTTAAAATGATTCATCCGTGCTTGACTCACCTCTCTTGAGTTATTCACAGTTTCTTCTTTGAAGATTTTTATTTTCCTACTTTTAGAGGTTTCCTGTTTCTTGTGTCCTTAAAGTCACGCACCTGCTAGTTGAAACTTTTGAAATAAAAAAGTTTGGCGTCTGTAATTTATGTCTTTTGAGTAAGTCTCTTATGCTCACCAAGGTTGCATTTATTTGACTAAAAAATACAGTAAAAATAGTAATAGTGTGAAACATTATTATAAATTCATAATAATGTTTAATGTTATTTGAATATATTTTAAAATGTCATTTATTTCTGTGATGCAGAGCTGAATTTTCAGCATCATTACTCCAGTCTTCAGTGTCACATGATCCTTCAGAAATCATTCTAATATTCTGATTTAAGAAACATTTCTGATTATTATCAATGTTGAAAACAGTTGTGCTGCTTAATATTTTTGTGGAAACCATGATACAATACTATAAAAAATTAATAGTTTTATTTAGCAAGGATGCATTAAATTGCTCAAAAGTGACAGTAAAGCATTTGTAATATTCCAAAAATCAATTTCAAATAAATAATGATGTTATCAAAAACTGATTTCAAAATTGATAATAAGACAACCATTATTAATAAATGAGTACCAATAATAACTGATAATAAATGAACAAATCAGCATATCCGAGTGATTTCTGAAGTATCATGTGACACCGAAGACTGTAATGATGCTGAAAATTCAGCTTTGCATCACAGGGATAAATTACAGTTTAAAATATATTAAAAAAAAAACAGTTATTTTAAATTGTAAAAATATTTCACAATTTTCCTGTATGGTGAGCATAAGAAACTTCTTCTTACATTAGTGTATATACAGTATTTCATGTTTTTTTTATCTAAGTACTGACTATGAGAAGCAGGTGTCTGACCTTCAGGCATTAAAAGCTTTTAAGAGCTCTTGCTAATGAACGCTACACCTGTTTACCTGCAGACTGAAAGCTGCAAACAAACCCAGAGCCAAAGACGCTTCTCTTTACCTGCAGATCTCCACATAAAGACACTTTAACAGAGCTAATGCAGTGAGCTAGACTGAAGTCCTTTGAAACAAAATGACTTAAAGACATTTGTGAATGCGTGAGATAGAAATGTGGTTAGTGATGAAACCGTGGAAAAAAAGAGAAAAGAGAAAGTGGGACCTTCCTCATTACTCTGTATCTCTTTAATCCATACAGGATTACTGTATCCGGCTTTGACAGCTCGGATCTATGATACCACACACACACACACACACACACACACACACACACACACACGTGCATGGATAAAGGATTAAAGTGAGACTCTAAAGGGCAGTAAAGCTGCAAAATCACACTGCTTTACTAGAGATTTCATGCCTAATGCATATATAAATGTGTTTGCATATGTTCTGGTTTTTAACATCATAACACAGATTAGCAGGGGTGTTTAAAATCCTCTCATTTGTCAGACGAGCTGTTGCCCTTTGCAAAGTATTACTCACTTTTCGTGCTGTCTTTGACATTAATGACGCAATCTTGTTATTTTGGTATATTTTCAGCTCACAAAAGTGTGTCAAGACTGCACTTTTTTTTCTTTCAGACCTTTTTTATATATATATTTCTCTCCCTGAAGACTTTATAATGACCTGCAGGAGAGAGAAATCACAAACGAGATCTCTTTAGTATGTTCGCTGCTTCTCCTGGACAGTGATGGAGAACGAACGGAAACTTTTGAAGCATTTTATTCTGGGAAAAAGACTCCTCTAAAGCAGAGAACACTAATTAGTTCAGATCTGGACCACTAATAATTTCTCATAGATTATTATAATTATAGACGCAAAAAACACAAGACCTGCAGCACAGGCGACTTCATTGGCAAATGCAAAGTCTGATTTAAATAGCATTTAGTCAAAATGACATGATTAAAAATCATCTCCTCTGGTCAGTTCTTTTAAAACACATGTTAATGATGGATTTGTTTCTTACAAGCATGCAGCTTCTCTGTTCATAAGAGGGTTATTGATGGACTGGAGTGGTGAGGATTACTGTGATGTTTTTATCAGCTGTTTGGACTCTCATTCTGACGGCACCCATTTACTGCTTTGGTCATCAAATGATGTAATGCTAAATTTCTCCAAATCTGTTCCAATGAAAAAACAAACTCATCTTCATCTTAGATGACCTGAGGACCATGAAGTCTCCTGGACAATGAAAAAGCAATAAAAAACCTCTCTTTCTTTCTCAGGGCTGTGGTGCATGTGCAGGTGGGAGATGTGAATGAGTTTTCCCCCATGTTTGGTCAGTTGGAGTATCACGGCTCGGTGACGGAGGGCAAAGTGTATGACAGTATTCTGCAGGTGCAGGCATCAGACCAGGACTGCTCTCCACAATACAGCCAGATCTGCAACTACCAGATCACCTCTCAGGACACAGCCTTCGCTATAGACCGCAACGGTTAGTGCACAAACATACAAGGAAGACATGCTAACAGCACTATTCTGTCTGTATTTAAATGTGTGTTTGTGTGCAGGTCACATCAGGAACACAGAGAGCCTGAGCTTTGATAAGAAGTCACATTATAAAATCCGTGTGACGGCGTTCGACTGTGGTCAGAAGAGAGCGGCGCAGGACGCTGTCGTACACATCCACGTCAAGCCCATCTGCAAGCCTGGATGGCAGGGTGAGATCTGGAACTGTTTTAGTCTCGGACACATTTTGCGTGTGAAAATGGACAGGCTTCAGTGGTTCACCAGAGAGCAAAGTCATATTTACAAGTTACCAATTTGTGCACTTTCGAGGAAGCTAATGCACTAAATTCTTCAGTGTTTTCTGTGCACTCTCGTGAAAAAATGTACAACGCTGTTAGTGGGCCAAAAGCTAAAGGTGCCTTATTTACTCATAAATGGTACATTTTAGTACCTTAAAGGTACATTTTCGTACTTTTAAAAACATAATTGTACCTTTTTGTAAAATTTTACAGTTTTGTACCTTTTTTATGAGACTGTACAGCTGGACTGTTGTGAAGTTATTTTAATATGAGTTTTAAATAATTATCAGTGTTGTGTTGGTTTAGTTTATTTTTATACTATTATAGTATTTATTAATATATTTATTAGTTAATTATTATTATTATTATTTTTTTTTTATTTATCATTTTATTATTTACTTATTTTATTCATAAATTATTAATTATTGTTTATTTTTTTATTTTCAATTTTAGTTTTAGCAATTTTAGTAATGTAGCTTTTGTCACTTCATTTATATTTAATTTTAATTCCAGTAATTTAGTATTTCAGATTAAACTTATTTCAGTTAGCTACCAAGGCAACATTTGTCATTTTCATGTGTTAAATTTCCATATAATAATTATATTCTATTTTATTTTATTTCATCTTTAATTTATTTATAATAAACCTGGCCTGGCATTGTATAGTATGAATATTGTTGGCTCTTTGACATAAAAGTGTCAAAAAGGTGCTTTGGTTAAAATTTTCTGCTAAATGTATAAATGTAAATGTAATTTTTAATAGTTTTACTAATAGTAACACTCTATTCATTCTATTATTATTTAAACTATTTCAGATAAATCTGCTCCTAAATTTGCATGTTTAATAATAAACTTAAACTGAACTTGGTGAAGTTTGAATCTGACAGACCATTCAGATTCAAATCTGTGAATCATTGAATTGAACTGGTTCTCTGAAATGAATCATCTGAATAAACAGATTCTCTGAACTGAATCAGACTTCCAAGCATTACTGGATTACTAAAATGAGGAGAGTTTAAGAAAGCGCCTCAGCTTGTAAGACTGTTTGCTCCATACAACGCAACATAAAAACTAGGACTTTTATTTAGTTACTCCCCAACACTAGTGTGCATTTTCTCTTGTTTCATTGATATAATGAATCAATATAATAAAACCTAGGTCAGTGTGGGAATTAGATGCATGTTCAATACTAAAATGCACAAAAAGGAGTAAACAATCAAAATACAGTTCTGGTACAGTAATTCCAGACATTTCCTATGATCTGTGCATGACAGCTTCTCTGTCTAAAACACACACACACACACACACACACACACGGGCCGGTTCTGTGCTTTGAATTTCCTGTCACTTTCTGTCCATCTCTTTCTTTTCCCTTGAAGCTATTTTTGTTTGCTTTTAAACTCAATATAGTATTGACCCCCCTCCCGTCTCTCTGCATCTCTGTTTTTTTTTTCCTGTAGGTTTGTGCTTTTTTCTTGCTTTTGATTGCCGCGGGAGGCTTGCATCAGAATTAACACACACACTTTCATATGATAGCCAGCATGATGCATTATGCGGTTCTTTGAAGGCTCTTGGTATCAGTTTTACTAGCTAAAGACGTGACGCATCTAAAGCAGAGTTGCTCAACTGGTTGCAAAAAAAAGGTCTGTTATGATTGCAGACAGAAAGGAAAAACTAAATAAAATAACATGCAACATGTAAATGGGAAAAGAAAATTCTTCCCCATTTATTATTTTGTTGATGTTGATATGCATCCAATCAAACTTTATTTTAGCACAAATGTCCTCATCTTCGTAAACTGCATTTAAATAAAGTAATTGCTATTCTTTTAACTTTTTAGGTGAATTAAACTGGAAAAAAGGTAACAACTGGTTTTATTCAAATTAAAAAAAACTATTATTTAGCATCACTGAATTAGCCTAAATACATTCATTTATACAAAAAAAACAAATATTTTAAAGGGGTCATATGATGTTGCTAAAAACAACATTATTTTGTGTATTTGGTGTAATAAACGGGCTTGCAGCAACCACATGTGACGACCCCGGGCTGAACTCCGCTTCATCCATGATGAAAGCCGATCTGGCGATCCACAGCGCAAAGTTGATGTATTTCCTCAGCGACCAGCACGGATCAGCTCTAGGCATGAGGAAGCGGATATCGTCCTCTTTTGGAAGACCAAACAAAGTAGTTTCGCTTTCACAACGAAGCACACAGCGTCTCCACAACATGGCGGCGGCAACAAAACTACAGCGAGAATAAAAGTTACGACTTCTTTCTTTGTGTGAACATTTGCACGGTGTTATGCAAATCTTCCCACATCGTGATGTAGACATGTGGGGGCGTGTTAGAACGAGCCGTTTTAGGTAGGTGTGGCTGACTCTTAACTTTTATAAAGAATATATCTTTGAATTTGAGACTTTAGTCTTTGCAACTTTACAGATCTTCTTTATGCACCAAGAGCTTGTAACACTCCAAAGAGAAAGGAAAAATTGAAATCGCATCATATGACCCCTTTAATGGGCTAAATCAGACAAATATAACGCTTTATAAACGTAACTTCAGAAAACCTGCCTGGTGCGGTTAATATTGCACTATTTGCAATGAACTTTTGTTTCATTTCAAGTGCATTTCCTTAAAAACTGATCTTTGAGGACATTTTTTATTGAGCACAGCTGCAATTATACATGCAAAACTTGGTGTGTTTGCATTTTAAAACCTTAGATGCCAGAAACTCAGTTTGATTTTAGCATTTGATTCATTTAGATACATTCAGTCTTCACGCAAACTCCAATAAGCTTTGGAATAAAAGCAATCTGGCTTAGTTTGCAGAAGTCACCTGCATCAATATCATATCATTTGCCTAATACAGTATAATGCATTTCTCATTGCTGCTTGTCTCTGCAGAAATTGCCTTTGCTAAGCGGCTTCCATCTCGTGCAGTCTCTCCACTGATATGAGAGCAGACAGGCACATTTCATTCTGCGTATGTTGAGAAGTAAAAAGCAACAAAAGCATAAAATTATGTTAAAAAGCTCTTTCCATTTTTAACATCTCCTCATGAGTTGTTTCCCAGCTACAGTGGTGAACAGGCGTTGCTAGTTCTCAGTTGTATAAGTGAGTGGGAATTTACCGAACGTGGCACTTGCGTGAGTTAACACTGTACGCAATAACCGCAACCTCACACCAAATTTCAGGCCGTGTAGATAGGCAAGCATAGCCTATATACAAATCATTTAGTAAGCAGAAATCTGAAATTTACCTTAACATATTAAGTTAGAGGAAGATGCGACTGAATTGATGCTTGAAGAATGCACTTCCAGCAGCCATGATAAACAGTTGGCGGTTAAAGTTTTCTATGCACAATTTGATTTGACGAAAGTCACGAGACCTATTACTCACTATCCAATCACGTTGCTGGATAAAAATAAAATTAAAATAACGACCACAAAAGGAGGAAAATAGCAGAGTAAAAGTACCGATACATCACTTAAAATGTACTCAAGTAAAAGTACACCATTTTTTAACTACTCAAAAAAGTACAATTACTGATAAAAAATACTTAATTACTGTAACGTGAGTATTTGTAATTAGTTACTTCACACCCCTGGTTGTAACCCAGAATTAAACATCAAACAACAGTTTTGTAAAAACAAAACTGTGAATATGAATTTGTAAAATAGAAGCTTTTACAAGTCAACATTCAATCAAAATGATCAATCAAACCAATTTATATTCTTAAAGTGATAGTGCACCCAAAAATGAATATTTTGTCATCATTTATTCACTCTCATGTCATTCCAGTCCAAACCTGTATGATTTTCTTTCTCCTGTCAAAATTTTAAAAAATTTGATTTGAAAATTAATATTCTATAAAATACTGCTTTAAATGGTGACAGAACTTTATATTTACAACTTTATATTTATATAACAAATATTTGTTATATATATTTACTCATATTTGTCCTCCCCTTCAACTGCCTTTTCACCATCCAGTCAATTCCCAATGGATAAAATCAAGTAAACTTTTGGTCTAGAGTAGTTTGTGTCTCCCAGAATGCACTTTGATGTGTCTCTGATGTGATTGTCCCTCAGGTGAGTTTGGAGACTCAAAACATGTTCCTCTTTACTCACACACACACACACACACACACACACACACACACACACACACACACACACACACACACGAGGGACGAGGAGACGCTGGAGAATATGTTGACAAGACTTTATTTGCACCAAGGAACCAAGGGAGACAAACACAGGAAGACGTTCACACGAAGACGTACAACAGCGGACAGAGAACTTGGGACTGGGAACACCATTTATACACACACACAGGAGGAGGGGATTTGTTATATATATTTACTCATATTTGTCCTCCCCTTCAACTGCCTTTTCACCATCCAGTCAATTCCCAATGGATAAAATCAAGTAAACTTTTGGTCTAGAGTAGTTTGTGTCTCCCAGAATGCACTTTGATGTGTCTCTGATGTGATTGTCCCTCAGGTGAGTTTGGAGACTCAAAACATGTTCCTCTTTACTCACACACACACACACACACACACACACACACACACACACTTGGTAGAAGCTTCATGCCAATTTTTTTTCCAGCCCACTGGATGGTGACAACTTGAGTAAAGGCCATTTGTTTCACATCTGACATAAAAGCATGAAGGAGAGAGAAAAGTAAACAGCTCCCCGTTGTGTCTCATAAGCAAGGGTGAGTAATTCAGCAGGGGTGGACATGCACTGTCCACACACACACACACACATTTTGTAGTTACCTTTAGGCTCCCTCCATCCATAAAATAATCATTTTCAGCTCCAAATTCCCAAACCCAGCAGCTCAAAGTGTGTTTGTGTGTGAGCTAATATTTGTGTGGTCTGTATGTGAATGCATGTTTACACAATCCATTTAATACTGTCCGCCCTTTTTCACCCATAAATTCCTATTAAATAACCACTGGCTATAGATTTCATTACAGCCACAATGTAGCCTGAAGAATCTAATATCTCGCCAGACGCACTAAGAGCTCTGGGTAACAAACCTCAAATATATTATAAATTATAACTGAATAAAACAAAAAGAAAATGATTCTTCTTCATTAAAAAACAAACAAATGGGCTTATTCAGTTAGTTACATAAATAATTTTTTGCTACTTGTCATATTTGTGCTCCAAAAAATACCACAGACTGACTGTACTGAATATATAATATTATATTTAATATATACTCAGGGTGTATCAAGTATATTTTTATTAAAATTACAAATTTAAGTAAATATCACACATGTAATTACGTCAAACCAGTTTAACTAGTAAAATTAAAGTGAATAAGTACATACTTTTTGTTTTACTCAATTGTTAAGGCAAGTGTTTATATGTTTTTTTTATTTTATTTTAGACATACATTTTTAGTTTGTCACTGCACTGATATTAGCACAGCTATGTTGACTAAATGAAGTAACAATCACCAAAATCATTTTATAACCATCCTTCAACCAAACCCAACTGTAACCATAAAAACTTCAACAACAAAAACTCTAGTCCTTCCTGGCCTTTTAAACAGCGATTTCCCTGTACTCATAAATTCATAAAATAACTCTCAATTCCAACATTACCAATTCAGTCCTAGACAAAGCATGCTAGGAACTAATAATCAAGCTTGCAATTTCAGCTCATGCATCAAACAACTATTCATGTAGTCCCAACACAAATTAAGTAAACTTTATTTTTACATATTCAAAAAAGTTCAGCAGTTGTGTTGATTTAGCTCAATTTCATTTAAATAAATGAGCAGCAATTTCTAAAGACCAGAATATCAATGTCTAGAGACTTGAGGGAGGGTTTTTTTTTTTTACAGAACTTCTTGTTTTTTTTACCTGTTAACAGCAGCCTAGTATCATGACTGAGAGTTCTGCACATGCAAACATCACTCACATTTTCTCCAGAAGTGTAGTTGTTGAGAATAATGCACCGATTTCAGCAAATATGACAACGCAATGCTGAAATATCTACCAAAACAAAGCTGTCAAGGGTAGAAATGTAATCTGCTCAATATGTTTCAACCCTGACCTGTGTGCAGTTGTTTCAGTGTTATCAGTAAATAGTGAAATTTTTCTTGTTGAATATCCTGTCACTCTAAAATGCAACAGATTATGGAAGTAAAATTGGTTATGAACTGCACTTCATGTTGACTCTAACACATAACACAGCTGTCTATAATGATTTATCTACAGCTGATAATGCAAAAATTACATGCTTATACACTGTTAGAAAAACAATGCAACAATAGTATCATAAGAGTACATATTATTACTAATATGCCCCATTTAGGAGTAAAGAAGGAACAAAGGAGACCGTTTGTGCCCCTGTGTTACCTCTAAAGGTACAATTTTTGGTAACACTTTAGTATAGGGACCAATTCTCATAGTTGCTTATTAGCATACATATTATTAACATATTGGCAGTTTGTTAAGCAGATGTTCTGCATGATCATATTCTATGTCCCTAATCCCAATACCTAAACTTAACAACTAACTATCAATAAACAGCAAATTAGGAGTTCATTGAGGAAAAAGTCGTAGTTAATGGTTTGTTATTGGTGAGAATTGGACCTTAAAATAAATTGACCCAATTTTTGCAAATTTTTTCTAAAAGTGTAGGTTTTGGACACTATATAGTATACCATGGTAATCTTTGATGGTGTACCATGATATTTCCATTTGATACCATCACTATATATTATAGTCCCACCACAGTACTAACTTTGTAAGTGACAATCACTAAGTTTAAACTTGTGAACGTTTTGGCTCATGCACAAAAGAAGGTTGCGTTTCTTCAAGGTGTATTTGAAATGCACGTCATGTTGGGGAACTGACTTGTTAATTGTGTGGAAGTCTGGAAAACACTGTGACCTCAATATCTTCATTTTCCAGCTCAGTGACATTATCGCTCTTTCTAATATTTAAGCTACTTATCAAAACGTTATCTAACTTTCTTTCTTCCCAGGCTGGAGCAAGCTCGTTGACTATGAACCAGGAATGGGCAGTAAGCTGTTATTTCCCAAGATGCACCTGGAGACATGTGCGGGATCGGTGTCGTGGATCAGGACCACAGTGGAGCTGGAGACGAGCGGTGCTGGGAGAGGCTGTGACAGACAGTCTTACTCTGAACGATCCTTACAGAAGCTCTGCGGTATGATTAACTGCTATTTATTCCATTGCACGCTTCCTCATTTCTCTTGGGTCGGTTTAATTACAAAATGTGCCTGAGGGCTAAACTAGTCAGACAAAACCTCCACCCTTGTCCTAGAATATGTATGTGTCTCAGTGCAGAATCATTAGCAGTGTAATTTATCCATATCAGAGGGATTGTCTTGAGAAACTACAAATGAAGCTATAAAATACAAATACGGTCCTTTTATATGACATGTGTCAGCATATCCTAATGCATTGGACTCTATGGGGTGAAGAGTCATATTAATGGTGAGATAATGAATGATATGGTAATGAAATCCCACACAAAGCAAAAGCTGACCTGAAGTCATCGTAAGATTTCTTTCTTAAGATGACAAGCTGTGGAAATTTCTTAAATTTTAATATAATTTTCTATAAAATGTATGTTATATAATATTTTTTGTTAAATTAAATATTAATAAAAAAATTATATATATATGTATATATATATATATATATATACATATATATATGTGTGTGTGTGTGTGTGTGTGTGTATTTTTTTTTGTAAAA